AGAGAGAGGTTTATGACAGGGTGACGGAGAGAGAGAGAGAGAGGGGAGAGAGAGAGAGGTTTATGACAGGGTGACAGAGAGAGAGAGAGAGCGCGCGCGCGCGAGAGAGAGAGAGAGAGAGAGAGAGAGAGAGAGAGAGAGAGAAGGATAGAGAAGGAAGTGAACGTTAACGTGAACATAAGCGGAGGAAGGCGAGAAGGAAGGAGGCGAGGAGATTGGAGGGAAGAACCAAAAATGGGGCGGAGGGAGGTTGGAGATTTTGGGAGAGAAAGTTGTGTAATAGGGATGGGAGTTTCCATTCACTTCTCGAATTTATACGCAAAAATGTGAGTGGGTGAAATGTTGAAACCTTTGCCGACTCGCGGTCGATAATGTAAAAAAATATTTGAACACGTATTAGAACTACTGACCCTTATTTTCGCACTATTATGCTCTTGAAAAAAAGTTTTGAACTATAGAAGTGGGTAAACTATAAAAAAAATAAAACTTTCACTCGCGCGGGTCCCGCACGGCGCCGTCTATCTCATATATTTACAGTCGACGTGACATTTGATAGCGAGATAGCATTGTCGAAAGGTCGCCGTAGAAAAAAAAGATAACCATTAAAGTTTTACAACGCGCGATAAATATATATATATGTACATACATATATACATATATACACATATAAAACACGCTTTCTTCTTTGTTATTAAAGTCAATTGAATTCCTGGATGAGGTTTTTAAACGTTGATTGAATTTGTTAGAAGATTATTAACAAACATTTTAAGCAAAACATTCATAATAAAAAACAATTAGTGATATCAGTGTTACTTCCATTATTAACAATTGGACTTTCAGCAGGAGAGCGCACCACGGTAATAGTTTTAAAGACTAATTGCATACTACGTGTCGTATATCTTGATGCTGTTAGTCTATAGTAATAGTAATATAGTAATATAGATTTCCGTTCGTATACAAACTACGGCTGTAAAATCACTAGTTTACAGGTGATTTATTACACCTTCTTCCTTATCTGCTATGTGAACAAAATAACATTAAATAATAAAACTTTGATTTATTATGCTATTACTGCAAGCAGGCGTCGTAAATAAGTTAGAAACAAAAAAAGTATAAAGAATATTTACTACTAAAACTTATGAAGAGTAAGAGGCTCCACGGTCATGGATCCGCATGGATCCGCGCAGTAAATGGATCATGTAAACAACATATAAAAATATAACCGCTATCTTCTATGGGTTCTCATGTATCCTGAAAAACACGAATACATTATATTAGGTTATTGGCTGTCTCGCATAACGCTAATGTACAATTATTATGCTATTCCATTACGTCACTAATCCCCGTAGTTTTAGTAATGCCATGGTTGAAACCCGCGAACTAAATTGCGATGCTATTTGTCGGAAGCGCTGGCTTTCCACTATCAGCACATCACCCACATTACTTGTATATCACTTGTTATGCTATCACGCCAACATGAAACGAATAAGAAAGACATAATATAATCAAGATCAATCTTCTTGCAATATAAAAGGCACCTCAACTGCCAAGTGCTTCATGCCGTGAAATATAAGAATAGATACTCACGCTTGCTACGGTGGTCCACAGGGACACGAGATCACTCATATATATATA